AAGAGGCTGTTTGGGCCAAGAACCGGTTTCAGAAGCTTATATGTCCAGTTATCAGAAGTAGCATAAATCATGGCCAATAAAGGACACCGGATAGTGTTCTAATTACCAAATTTTGTGCAATTCACAGCTAATTGAAGGATTGCTGGGTCAATAGAAATAGACAAATTAACCAAGATAGTGAAGAGCAGGATCGTGACCTGGAGCTATCTCTGGCTGTTTGTTATTAATAGGGAGAAGCAATAGGATTAAGCACGGAGTAGGAGCAGACGAAGCTAACCTAGAGTCTGGCTAGGATTACCATCTCCTCTTACGCATGAGCATTGCATATATACAGTACAAATGAAAATGTAGAGACCATTTGGCATTAACATTGCAGGCTGAATCTACATATCATTTAGGTAAGCAAAAAATGTCCTCCGGAATTCTCTTCAAACGAAATGAAATCAGCTTTAGTTATCAGCAAACATTTAAGATAAAACATGAAGTAACCAGCCAATTCATGGAATGCCTCATTAAGATAGCAAAATTGGGTTATAAGAAGTATGTAGGATTGCAGCCGGCCCGTATTGGTTAAGTTCTGCTAAAGAATAGTTTCATGCTGGCAGGATGGACAAAATCTCCGATGAGTGAGTGTGGTAAGAAGATAAACCAGCCATATCTTTATATTCTACCATAAATTCATTTTCGTAAGCGTTTTTGGAATAGGTAACGCTGGGCCAGTAGGTTTAATGTTGGAGTAATACTGAGTTCCTGCTCTGATGTTGTGTAAAACTGCATGACAGGGTAAAGCTCAGCTTGGTTAAGTCGTAACCAGAGGATGGCTTGAGGAGTGAGTTCGCCTCACAATAAACATCACAATAAACCCAAGCAACAGCGGACCAATAGAAATCCATCGTTATGGGTTCCATCCCAGAATATCTTCATTTCATACGAAAGCATGAAATAAAATGCAAATCTAAAGTGAGCCATAGTCTTTTATTTAGTTTGATATAAAATTTTTCGTTTGAAAAACTCCTGGTTAAAGGACCTAGAGATAAGCTATTCTTGACATTAAAAAAAAGTACTTTACGAATCAGTATATTAAAAGGCTATTGTCTGTACAACTAGAGTTTAAGTTCAGCCTCCGCCAGCGAAGACATCATTCTCTCATTTATAAGATTAATCTGTATAAATAATATCAATAAATATCTCTTAACAATGGCATTAGTCAGGTTCTGGTTGTTTGGAAATTTGCTTTATAATATTTTGCATCTCTTACCTCTCGGAAGAAAATAAGGTATCGAATAAAGTCTCCACTGAGAAGCACCACCATGTACATGGAAGAATTCGTCTTTAAAATTTTCACACGGTCAATTATCTGAAGGAGAAAATAATGCATTCCATAAAGCCACACTTTAACCCAAATTATAGATAAGGTGACAACTAAACCACCTGTGGGTTTGATAATATAAATAGGAGAACTAACATTAGATAAGAACCTAAGCCCCCTAAGTTCTAGGCGTTTGGCAAGCAAGCCAGAATAAGAAGAATGACTAAAAGTGTGCAAATAAGTGCGAGCTTTGCTCCTTTTTATTTAAAACTGTAGGCTCCGCAGTTTTGCTGAATATGAACTTATATGTTCCTAGTTAGCCTAGGCCGAGTACAATCAGGCCTTATTACAGAGGAACCAAAAAGCCTTAGCGACAGTACAGACTGAATTTTGCTTTATTTATATAAACAATGCATTGCTCGAAGAAGATCAAGGTTGTGTGTTGTGCGTGTGTGCTGTGTGATATGTTGCTTAAGCATGCCAGCTTTAGAAGCCTTTTTGATCATATTTAATTAGGCTTAAAGGCAGTCTTTCTAATTAGAAGTAGTAGCAGAACTAATATTAGTTTACCATAATAAATCTGGAATTACCTCTCCGTACTCTCTATTCGTTTGTTCTCCTGGGGCTACTCTGGCGCCTCTGCTTGGAAATACACTTAAATTTAAGTAAAAAATTATGTTAAAATCTCTGATACCCACGTTAAGAAAGATAGGGATCTCCCAGAATTGTGAATGTTAACCCTAGAAGCCCAGTCGCCACGCGTACACCCATAGAAATAGCGTTAAAAACTAGACCATAATTCGCGTCATATTTTTTTGGGCTAAAAAATGACCTTGGTCACCTATACATTTTCCCACCGTATCTACACTCCATCTCTATACGCACAAAATAGCTTTTGATATAAACATTCAAGCTAATGAGTAAGCAAATATGTGGCCCGACCACTTTGCTCTAACGTATACACTACTTGTCAATTACTAAAAATTCAGCCGATAGTCTTTGCGAAGACCTAATTTAGTACTAAATTTAAGAAAATCGAATGCTCCTCTTTGATAGAAATTTTGCGCTTGACAAAGCAAAGCAAATAAGATGTTACCTCATAGACTCGTTCAAGTCTCAGCTTCAATTGAGTAAGTGCCAGAACTTCTTGTGTCAAGTTGACCCTTGAGCCACAGGGGCCGAATTCATCAGCTATTAAATCATCGCATACGTGCTCTGAACACGCGGCACCAAGCAATTCTGCTGCTGGAGTGTCTAAAATGGTTTTGGCAGATTCAAGTCGAATGAGCTCAAGTCCAGTGATTGCTAGTAAAAGTAGCAAAAAGTCGCAAGTTAGACTCCTCCACCTGATTATTAAGTGACCTCTGAACATTCTGTTCCAATATTCAAGCAAATTTAATGTTTGCCCTGTTTTGACCATCAAATATTTTCTTAGTGCAGGTAGTGACAAGGGCGGTAGCTGCAACTTATAGCATGACGAACCACATGAGAGGTAACAAAAACCGTACGAGGGGCCGCCGTAGGAGAATAATAAGAATTCCCGAAGACGAGACAACACCTGTTCTAGATAAAGAATAGTTCATTTGTAAGCCATTTAATACAATGTCCCCGCTTTCAAGCCAAGTGGTTGCAGCGCCTTAATGTCAAATTGATAAGTCAAATGGCCGGATCAATCGATACTCAGAGTCCAAGCGCAGGAGGCAGCGAAAGCATCTAGGCCAATGTGGGCTTGTTGATACGAAGAGAAACTGGGTTTCGATGACTCTCCTGTGATAACGCTGTTGGGGCTTGATGAAAAGCTGCAACTGTTTGTTCATTGGCGATTGCAGACAAGATCGATAAAGGTCAGATTGTCCGTGAAATTTTTAATCTTTGATTCAGGTTCAACTAGCTAGAAGGAATAAAGTGTCTAAGCAGATATAATGTGAGTATTGCGAACCAACTCTTTCGACAGATTAATGGAGGCCCAGTCGTGAGATTTAATCGAAAAGGCTCTAAATGTCAAAGGTCCGTCTAAATGATACATTTACGCCACTAGATTTACATATATGCATGTGCAGTGGACTTGAAAACTATCAGTAAATCTTGAATAAGTGTTCCACATACCCTAGGTTGCATAAGGTGAAAATGACTGACAAATGAATTTTCCCCACAATGATAGGATTAGGCCCCATGTTTCCAATAGATTTCATTTGGTCTAGTTTCCCAAAAGGTATTCTCATCAGGGATGTACTGCAGGTCTCATCACACCGCTAACAGAATGGGTGAAAATCCTAATGGGAAGCAAAGCCAAATAAAATTGAATGGAGAAGTGAAGCCTATCCATATTATTGTGAAAAAATTCAATTATCAGTCCTTCAGTCCTTATGAGACCTAGGATGACCGGAGCTATATTCACATTTATAGAGGTGGTTTGACCTCGTTTTTGCAACTTAACTGTGCTGCCAAGCTGGCCAAGTTGAAAGCACCTTGCCTAAAGTCCTCTGCTACAGTAGTTACACTAATTTACAGCGTAAGACCTTGGAATTGGTACATTCCCAGACGTTTCGTTGGCATCGTAGTCTTGCCATTTTCAGCAGCAAGCAACAACTTGTCAACAAGTATATGGGGTTGGTGAATGTAGCAAGAGAAATGGAGGGATACCACAAATATTCAGTAGAAAGTTGGACGAGGGATGGACTTCATTTGCCTATTTGAAGAGTTATAGTTTGGTGCTAGAAATGGCAAAACCCACTGACGATGACGACTAAGAGGCTGGCAAAATGTCTGAGATTGTACCAAGTCCACGATTCGACGCTAGGAATTATCATTTTACTGCTATAGTAGAGGACTTCGGACAATTAACATTCGACTAGGTCCTTATGGCAACGCGGATAAGTTGCGAAAGTAGAGTTAAATCAATTCGAAACTTTTTATGGAGGCTGCGATCAGGAAAGAGGCCACAACAGCTTAGTCTTCGTATCAACTATTATATTCGCATTCGTTTGATAAAGTCAGGAGCTCTCCAAGGTTTAAAAAGTGTAGTCTGTAGCTTTTCAATTGGCACCAGTTTGTGATTAATACATGTTAGTTTCAACTGCTTTCTTAATAAGCTCTGCACAGGAAGAATCGAGGAGAATTGAAGAGAAGGTACATGACAAAGTGAAATTCCCTGAACAGTTCAGGAATTATCATCAATTGCATATTTGAAGAAAAGCTAGGCTACGATGACTACCTTATGGATTTAGAGTGACTCCTCCTATCATTTCGAAGGAAATTTGATTATAAAGGATTCGTGAAATGGCTCCTTTGGAAACTGAAGGAGGATTGGCTTAAAGTGGGAAAATTCGTATTGTGAGAATAAGCTCTCGGCTCGCAATGCTGCCATACATGGAGCGCTTTTTTGTAAGTGATGGTTTCTCGTTCTGTTGATATCGGCCGCATGACAGGCGAAAGCTCAGCG